TAGGAATAATTAAAATAGAATCCTCTCCTGGATGAATTGGGAAGCATTGCTAAAGCTCAAGTGGGAGGTACTGCTTCAGTACAGATGTAATCTTCTGAAAGAGAAGGGAAGGCTCAGGCAGGAGGACAAAGAACGCCTGCATGCCTGAAAGAACAATAAGAAAAAAATACCTCTTTGAATAAGTGAAAACTTAAGACAGTTTGACCACTTATACAGAAACAAACAGCTTTTCCTTGTGAATCTGCATTTGCTGCTTCGTATCATGATGCTTATCACAATTTTGCCACTGGTCCCATTCTCCTATACATCTGCCATTGATGTATAAGAGGTCAAGAAAGCATAGGATAGCCTTAGGATGCATTTGCACTTGTAAAGAAGTACCTCTGATGTTCCTGTTGTAAACACATTATTCGATTTGCTGTCATAGCTAGTGTACATGTTCATTTGTGTAGAATAAACAGAATCTTGGGGGAGAAAATCTATACAATTAGCACATCAATCAGACTGTTCTTCTGGTATCCATGCCCATTGACTTCTCCATAAATTCTCTTTCATAACTAATATGAATCATGAATTAATCATAAGGACTAGAAAACTTAACACCATCCAATGTTCATAAATCCTAACAATATAGCATTAAACATTTATTTTTTTTAAATATTGTCACTGGTCCGTCTGAATCCATATCAGTCTATGCGCGCATACTGAACACATAATTCTAGCAGCCCTCTAGCAACAGGCTGTGTTAGTTGTGCTTAAAAGTTTGTAGCTACCAGAGTGGAAGGATGAAGGAAAATTTCGTTTGTCTCACCAAATGGAGAGATTGCTTTCTTCCTGTTCAGATTCTGTGCTCTAAATACGGTGTTTTGCAGCTATCTAAGTCAACCTATCCAGGCTGCCCCCAAAACGCATTGTTTTGCCTGTGTGTGTATCCTGCTTTCCCACACTGTGGTGGCACCAGCAATCATGCAGCTGTTTGCGGAGCACACGACTTAGGTAATTTGACTGGGGAGAAACTAGCATGGGGACAGGTTTGGTTTGGTTGGTTGGTGGGTTTTTTTAGAGGCTGCTTTTATCTAGATCAGTTGGCTGATCTGACTACCACTTTGCCATGTGATCACTGGTACTGATGGAAAAGGGATGCAAGGGTGTACAGCCAGGCTTAAAGTAGAATGTAAAACCTCACACCATGATCTACTTAAGATGACTGTAAAAGCTGACCTTTAATCTCTGCCACCCTCCCTAGGCTGGCCTGATTTCCTCTTAGATTTCCCAGAAGGTAAGTCTAGTTTGACCCTAGCATGAGGAACATCATACTGAGGTTTAGAAGTGCTACCACAGGCAGAAAAGCGAGTGTATTAAAAGGTTATTTTGTAACTTTGTGGGTTTTTTTAAGAGGGGCTGGTTTTATTTCCCTTTACAAGAAAGATTCTGTTTGGAAAGCAGAATTTGGACCCCAAAAGAAAAAATATTCAGAAGTTCTGATTTGGTTAAAAAGGCACTCTTTTGGGAGAAGATAAACAGGAATGTACCAAGCTGCTGTTAGGCTGAAGTATGTTCTTTCTATAGCGGAGTTCAGCTCTTTGCTCAGCAACACATGGATGGTTGTTGAGACACATTCCACAGAGGGACCCAAGACTAGAACTTCTTTATTTTTCTCATTCACTGACAAACTCACTCCTGGAGTAAGCGAGGACATTTGTTGCTCTCTCTTTAAGGGACAGGAGCGGTACTTTGAGGTATGAGGTGTTTAGGGTTTGGCCTTTGTGTGTATATGCGAAGGGGTGAGGCACAAAGAAACCAGGCAGTGGAAGAGGGGAATACGTTTGATGAGGACACGCTAATAGGCATGAGGAGAGTTGCAGGGAAACTCCATAGCAAGGAAAGAGAGAAAACAGCTCTCTGCCAATCAGTATACCTTCTTTTTATACAGCATGAATACTGCCCTACTGCAATCAAAGTAGATGTTCCTGTAAACTGAAATTTCCCCTTACCAGCCTTACCTTACATGTAGTGTACGCACTACCACAAGCAGAGCTGGCCACAGAGAAATGAACAAGCAGAGATGAGGGAGAGCTTGGATGATCTTGTATATACTGAGAATAGAGGTGAAGAAGGGCCAAGACCAGAAGTTAAAGACCTCATCATCGATGAAATTCTGTGGTTTTTCACCAGTTTCAAACATAGCATTCCTAAGAACTAACAGAAAGCATCATGAAATAACAGCTTCCATTAACAAGAAAAAGCTGCGTAATGGTTACTCAGCAGAATGTGCCCCTTGTGCGCTACTTCTGTCTCCTGAAAGACCAGTTCAATTACCTTTTACTCTTTCTGATTTGTGGGTCTGCAAAATAAACTGAGCATACAGGGTTGGCTCAAGAATAAGTGCTGAGAGGCTTTTGATTCTGGTCACCTATGTTTTCCCCAGATAAAGTCCAACTGATGCAGGCTTACTCATATTGCCATATAAATTCCTCTGTGTTTTCAGAGACCTGCCCACTGTGTAAAGTAATGCTAGTCTTGACTACCTATTCCAGTAGACAAACTCCAAAGTTTAACTGGATTTCATTACCATGATGCCATTAGTTCCTACATATTTACCTTACACTAGGCAGCAGCACACGAATATAAGGGTTTGCTAGACACACTACTAACAGTGAATTCCATGAAAACAATGCTGAAAATTTTGATCTTTGGGAATAAACTGTAAAATGAGAGACACTGCACACTCACATTTGTACGTGTTAGTAATTCAAGCAGCTCTCAACTCATCCCTGAACAATTTGTAAGAAGAAATCAAGACAAAAATTCTTTCTGCTTCCATTATCTGTGCAGAGTGAGGGTGTTCTCTCAAAATTTCAGAAGTTTCACTCCTGTAACTCTTGCAGTATGTGCTTTTCTTGCAATATATTTTAGTTAAAATAATAAAGGTATAATAATTTGTATTTATTTTAGAACATTAAATTGGACATTTTCTCCTACTATCACACAAAAGTTGGTTGTTCAATGCTACAGACAGGCATTCCCTACTGAAAAAATTCTCTACTGAAATTCTTGTATCCTGGAAGAACACACTTTTTACTTCAAAGAAGAGTTTGGCCATGTTGCATTTAGTATTGTAGTGCTCATCATGTGACAGTTTGTTTTTTTTAAACTCACAAACACACACACACCATCTACATTAAAAAAAAGCTTAGGCTTCTATCATTTACCTTTCAGAAAATGCGTGAATTAAAAATGCTTATATGATGCTACTTTGTCTTCTTGCTCAACTGCACTGTGATATGGGCAAGGTCAGATTCTCTCCCAAAGGCGGCTCTAATCATGTCCTTATCATAATGATCATGCACAAAGTCACAAAGTTGAGGTTACCAAGGCAATAATTATTCTCCTCCACTTTACTTTTACTCCATTTTCCTTTTAAGTCTTTTACAGTCTTTACTGTGGACGTAATTTTAAGACACTCACCATAATTTATTTTTGGCAATCCACCAAAATTTCCTGGGAAATTAAAATCAGACCAAATCATGGGTAATGTTAAGAGTTTTTATTTCAGCCAAACCTGACGTGAATTTCAGGAGGGTGTACAGGAAGGAGAGTTGAGGTGATGAGAAGAAATAGTTGGGTGACATTAGACTTTCCATTTCAATAGATTTCAAAAGACTGTCTTATTAGGCACTGTAACATACAAGCAGTTGTAGAGGAACCTATTGATTGTTCTGCAAGCTTATAACAGAGGAGTAGATACACAAGTGAAATGTACAGCTGAAGGCCCTACAGTCATGGGAAATTTTGAAAAAGTATAGCAAGATACTAAGACCAGAAACAGACAGGCAGTCACAGTATCTATATCCCTATGGTCATTTCAGGTTTGGGTTTTTTTAGTCTATTGATTATTCTGCAAGCTTATAACAGAGGAGTACATACACAAGTGAAATGTACAGCTGAAGGCTGTAAAATTTTCAGTCATGTGAAATTTTGAAAAAGTATAGCAAGATACTAAGACCAGAAACAGACAGGCAGTCACAGTATCTATATCCCTATGGTCATTTCAGGTTTGGGTTTTTTTAGTTCAGGTTTAATATCTCCCAAACAACAGAAGTCAATTATCCCTTTTACCACCCTTTACCTGCTCACTGTTTAGAGTGAGTGGGTGGACACTTAACAACTGCTTCTATTCACATTACAGGTCATTTCAGAAAATCCTCCCTAGGCTTAGGAGTCATACCAAACCAGAGGAAAAAGAGTATCTTTAGAACTGAGGGAGAAAGGAGAGGAAATGAAGGAAAAGGAGGGAAAAGTCAAGGTAAACACAAAACCCTACATTCTCGTCACCTAATTTTAGATAGAATTTATGAATTCGATCTAGACTAATCAACCAGGCTCCCTTCATAATCAAACAACAGAGAGAGCCTTAATGCTACTGGAGTGATTTCTCTCTATTTTGATACCTATGGCATGAATCACAACCCAACTGGCATCATCTGTATTTCTCTATAGGCCTAAGAGATGGTTCCCTGACAACTGACTTATGTTACATGCTCTATTTCTGTATAGCTTACGTTACGTGAGCTAAACCGCACTCTCTGCTGAGATGCATAAGTTAGGAGTGAAGTTGCTGCAGATTTCACTTACAGTTGTGAGAGGGGGAGAGAGAGAAGAGAAGAGAGAGGCACCTTCAGGAGTCAACTCAGCTCCCTTAATATCTCAGAATTTTATGACCTTTCTAACCCAAAAGAGTGCAACAAAGCTTCTGCCTGGCATGGATATCATGAAATCAAACAGACGAATGTAACAGGGAAATATACAACTATATGCTTTAAAAAAGTTATTTTTGAGCTAGAAAAACAGATAAATGATTATCTGTTTTATTATCATCTTAAAATTATTATTTAAAATTATCATCTTAAAAAGACATTTCCTACACTTTCACATTACAAGTTGAAATCACTTTGTCTATCAGTTATTCACTCTGCATTAATTCAAATATGCACACCTACCTTTATGGTAACGTTTCCCTTTGTTATTTTTCTCATATTGAAGCCTACTGTAGGAATCATATCTTCTGTGAACTGCCCTGACTAGAATACAAACAAACAAAAAAATATATTTATTATAAAATAGTTGATACACAGCAGATGACTTTCTCGTTTGCAATCTAAAATTTTTATTTCACAACACTGTAAAATATCACATTAATTTTCTACAAGAGCACTGGCCAGCACTTCAATTAATGCATTGTCACACCAAGGAAGACTGTTCATTTCAGTCCCTTTAAACAATCTTTTATTCTCCTCAGCGACAAAGATCACCCCAGAAACCACGAGACTTCAGATAATTCTTCACCTGATCCCTAAGCAAACCAGAAAGCAGCACAGTCAAAATACAGAATCATAGAATGGTTTGGGTTGGAAGGGACCTTTAAAGGTCATCTAGTCCAACCCCCAATATGATAAAATATGATAAAACTGACTATACCAGGATTTTTCCCTGTAGTTTCTCACTACTGTTACCAATGGTTTAACTCCAAATGTAATAAACAGTGAAAGAGTACTCATGTAGAGAGTACTACATGCAGACCCTTTCCTTCTGAGTAGGTGACAGCGGAGGAGTCCTTCTGTGGAAGCTAAAAGAACACCATTAAGACAGAAAAATACAAGGTACTAACTCAGCACGCCATAAACCCAAAACATAAAACCAAAGCGCTGCCTCCTCGCCCAGTTCAGAGAAATATTTTTACAAGACAGACGCTTGTCATCATGCCAACAGGAACCTTACACACATCTACCCACTACAGAAGACAGCTTTTGAGGAGAAAGGTGAAACTCAGACCTAAGTAGTTAACTCATTACTCATTCTTCCTTTTCAAAGCGTATCATCAATATAGTATCATGTCTCCTAGGAGTGGTGCATTAAGATATGCAGATGGTTACTTAAAACCTGGAGGCCCAGGTGCTCTCTGCAACATACACAGTAGTCCCGGTTTTCCGGTCATCCAGAAAGGAGAGCAGGACCTTCTGGACTTGCCATTGCCCTTGCATATCTATCTGCCCATATTCCTTTCACCCATCTCATCATCCCATGTGTCCTGGGGGTTTTTTGGAAGAAAATATGGCTATGTGGACAAGGAGTGAAGCAGGCATGCTCCAACAGGTCCCTCCCCTCTGAGAAGTGGATGATCAGAGCTTCAGGGTGCACCAGAGCAGCTACGTGCCTCACAGTGCACTCATTGCCACCAGCTACCCCTAATGCTATTGCCGGTCTCTGTATGCTTTCTCCAACTTTTCTCTTCACTGTTTGTGGCAGAGTGAGAATACACTATGCCTCCAGTTTGTGTTCACAAACTAAGAATAATTATTTTTAATCTGGGACTTTAAAAGCTGTATAACCTCTGACAGTTACTTGATACTCTCACAAGATTTTGGGGTTTGGAATTAGATCCTTCAGGCAAGAAACAACTTCCATCAATTACTTGTTCAACCTTACTTATGGGAACCTTCTTGCTATATTCTGTACTATACATCCTCCCCATCTTTTGTTCATGGAATTCTCTTCTTTTCCTCCTCTTTCCTTGCTTCAATGACTTGTCAACAGCAGTAGGAAAAAACAGTGAAGATAAATGCACCTGCAGTTTCATACAGATACACGTACCTAGCAGTGACAGAAGTTTTTAATTGGATGGAGTAAGAAAAAGCCAATCAGTAACCCTCTCCTGTAGCAGGTACTGGCCTAATTTGTTAAAGTATATAGTACATTTATTTGTGGAGGACAGACATATAAACACATATGAACACATAAACCCTGAGAATGTAACATCA